TGTTGGCTTTAAGATGGAAGAAAGGGACCATGAGCCAAAGAAGGCAACAAATGCAGCTTTAGAAACTGAAAAAACAAGGGAAAGAATTCTTCCCTAGAGCACTGCCAACACCTTGGTTTTGGCCCAGTGCAAACCATTTTGACATTTGCCCTTTAACACTATAAGTTAATAAATTTGTGTTGTATTAATTCTCTAAGTCTGTGGTGATTTGCTACACTAGCAAAAAGACACTAATACAGACCCTAAGTAAGAAAGACGGAACTGGTCGTTGTAGTAGACAGCTCCAAGCCAATGAGATGTCTATTTTTCAACCTTTGTTTTCTTTTTATTTCTTAGTATTTATCAGATAATTTTACAGAGCGTTTTATGCATTAACTAATACAATTAAAATTATATGATTTTTCACATCTAGGAATTCTTTGTTTTTTTTGAGAGAGAGAGAGAGAGAGTGAACATACTACACATATTTGTCAAGTCCATTGCTTTTTTCCTTTTTCACCTTTACTTACTCCTCCTCCACTGATTTCATTTAGCATTTCCTGCACATTATAAATAATACTCTTAGGTAGGTTTTCTCTGATTAGAAGGAACATCTTAGGCTCATGATAGAAAAGAAAACAAAACATAAACTCTAAAGTCTTATGCAAAATAATTAGAACTGTTTACCTGAACATTTGGTGGAAGACAGACATTTCTGGTTAGGGTTTGGTGTTGGATTATCCCACTGCAAAGAGGAGTATGTTTCTTCCTCATACATGTCTGAGATGCTTTGTTAGGTGAAGCAGTCCCCAAGGGAGGCTGACACAAATGACACCTCTGTGGTTAGGAGCAGGTTAGATAAAGAAATGAAATTGGCTACTTTTTCACAATAGTAGAAAAAAATGTTTGGATCTAAGCATAGAATAGATGCATCTTCATCCAGAAAGTGGAAGTTTATGAAGTTTAACCCAAAGCCCAACTTGGTAAAGGAGGAAATGAGAAATGAGAAAGAACTGAACTCAAAATGGCCACCTTTTTGCTCTGGTTTCCAAAATGCAACAGACGTTGTGGTTGTGGTTGATAGCACTGGATTATAGTTAAGAAGAAAAAGAGGTAAGTCCAAAGAATGTGCATGTATTTGTTACAGGATACAAAGCATAGGGACGATCCGGATAATGAAAATATGAAGATAGCTCACACTGGGCAAACCAGGACGTAAACAGTCAGAGATGACTGTGTAGCCCTAAACAAGAAAGCTAGGAAGGGATTTCATCCCTAAAATAAATTTCCATACTGTATCTTATGCTAGTTGCCAGGATAAGTAAACCTCAAAATGTCAGGTGTTTAACACAATAAAAGTTCATATCTCACTCACATAACATTTCAGCACCAGTAATTCTGGTTGGTGAATAAATAGCTTTCCTCCAAATAGGACCTGGGATTCTTACCTCTTGTGAGACATTAGAGTCCTTTACTTTTATCCACTGAAAAAGAAAAAGGACAATGACAAATCCACGCCTGCTTCTTGAAAGCCACACTGTGGAACTTGTGTCACCAATGGCATGCCCATATTTGGATATAAAGATTGAGCTAGAAAAAATGTAATTTTTGCCTGGGTAGCAAGCTTTTGATGACAACTTCACTCTAGTAGGAAAGCATGAATTATTTACTGTATAGATAGCCATTTCTGCCAAATCCTGTAACTACAGTATTGGTATTGTGAAATTTTATACTTTAATAGTCATTCATCTTTTGGCCACTTGGCCTTATGGACAAAGGTGATGTCTCAGTAACATAGTCTGCAAGACACAGTAACCTGCAAAATTGTGATGTTCTCTTTTGTGTCTCACTGGATCAATCATTGTTCTCTATGACAATCGGGCTCCCAGAAGGAAACAAATGGCATATTCGGGAGGTGGAATGAGGACCTTTAATAAAAGGACTGTTTTTAAAGATTTAGAAAGAGTTAAGGGGGAAAAAAAAGAGTTATGAAATATGCCCTGGGAAGCTGTCACCACTCCTAGGCATGAAGAATCAAGTGGAGGGTGATTATTGAAACTTTGTGACCTGCCTGACAAAGGCCATGGACAAAGACATAGAACACGCAGCCTTTGCCAATCAAGGCATGGTAGGGAGTGAACCCATGGATTAAACACTGTATCTCTGATCACAGCCAGTGCCTTTGATTGGCTGAATTAACCGGGAGTTTGCCCAGTTAATGTGTTTATTTGAGTTTGGTCTCCTAAAGCACAGGCTGGGACCGAGAGGATCTCCAGGGGCAAATGGAGAATATGCAGCACATTCTCGAGTATTTCATATGATGTTCATATAACCTGAAATTTTGGTCTGAAAAATAACGTGGTTTAACTCCACATAGCCTTTACAATAGGATAATTTCTATTTTGAAGAGGAAAATAGGAAGGAACCATAAGCATAAAAAATGTGCATTGAGACTAATGTCAGGAACACAGAAATGAAACTCAGTAAGTTGTCATTAATGTCTAATAGCTCTCAAATTTTATCAACATTAAAGATCAGACTCAGAAACATCTGATTTTTTTTCCAAATATACTATATTCTCTGAAAAATTTATTTTGGGGGAGCCATTGGCTTTTCCCAGTTAATATGTTACTCAAAGTACTTTTGATGGGTTTAGTCATACTACCTGTTTTTGCTCATTACATTCCAAGTGCAATTTTAAACAACTTTCACATGGATGATTTTAATTTTCACAACATCTCTATGAATTAAGTACTACTATTGGTAGAGAGTATAGGTATATCTCACTTTATTGTGCTTTGCTTTACTGTGCTTTGAAGATATTGCATGTATTACAAATTGAAGGTTTGTGGCAACCCTGCAAGTCTATCAGTGTCATTTTTTAAACAGTTTTTTTTTTTAACAGGATGTGATTACTTTGTGTCTCTGTGTCACATTTTGGTAGTTCTTGTAACATTTAAAATTTTTCATTATTAAATAATGTCTTTTATGGTAATCTCTAATTAGTGATCTTTGTGTTAATGTTGTAATTGTTTTGGGTACTAGGAACCACTCCCATACAACATGGTGAACTTGATTGAATGTTGTGTGAGTTCTGGCTGCTCCACCAACCAGCCATTCCCCCATCTGTTACCCTTTGTTTGGGCGTCCCTATTCCCTGAGACACAACAATATTAAAATTGGGCCAACCAATAGCCCTACAATGGCTGACCTGTACGTGTTCTGGTGACAGGAAGAGGCACACATCTCTCACTTTAAGCAACAAATTAGAAATGATTAAGCTTAGTGAGGAAAGCATGTTGAAAGCTAAGATAGGCTGAAAACTAGGCCTCAGGCACAAAACAGTCAACCAAGCTGGGAATTTAAAGGAAACTGAAAGTGCTGCTCCTATGAACACATAATGAGAAGAAAGCGAGATAGCCTGATTGCTGATATGGAGACAGTTTTGGTGGTCCAAATAGAAGGTCAAACCAGCCACAACATTTTCTTAGGCCGAAGCCTAATCCAGAGCAAGGCCCTAACTCTGTCCAATTCTATGGAGGCTGAAAGAGGTAAGAAAGCTGAGGAGGAAAAGTTTAAACCTAGCAGGGGTTGATTTGTGAGGCTGAGTAAAAGAAGCTGTCTCTCTAACATAATAGTGCACATTGAAACAACAAGTGCGGATGTAGAAGTTGCAGCAAGTTCTCCAGATCTAGCTAAGATAATGGATGAGGGTGGTACACTAAACAAGAGATTTTTCAATGTTAACAAAACAGTCTCATATTGGAAGAAGATGCCATCTCTCGTAGCCAGAGGGGAGAAATCAATGCCTGGCTTCAAATCTTCAAAGAATAAGCTGACTCTCTCGTTAAGGACTAATGCAGCTGGAAACTGAAGCTAGAGTCAATAGTCATTTATTATTTTCAAAATTTCTATGGCCCTTAAGAATTGTGCTAAATGTACTCTGCCCGTTCTCTGTAAACGGAACAACAAAGTCTGGTGACAGTGCACTTGCACATCTGTTTCCAACATGGTCTATTGAATATTTTAAGCCAACTGTAGAGATTACTCAGAAAAAAAAGATTTCTTTCAAAATATTATTACTCATTGACAATGCACCTAGTCACTCAACAGCTCTGATTGAGATGTACAAGGAGATCAATATTATTTTTATGCCTGCTAACACAGCATCCATTCTTCAACACATGGGTCAAGGAGTAATTTTGACTTTCAAGTCTTATTATATAAGAAACACATTTTGTAGAGCTATAGCTGCCATAGATAGTGATTCCTTATGATGGATCTGGGCAAAGTAAATTGAAAATCTTCAGAAAAGGATTCACCTTTCTAGATGCCATTAAGAACATTCATGATTCATGGGAGAAGGTCAAAATATCAACATTAACGGGAGTTTGGAAGAAGTTGATTCCAACCTTTGCAGATGACTTTGAGGGGTTCAAGACCTCATTGGTTCAGTGGAGAAAGTAACAGCAGATGTGGTGGCAACAGCAAGAGAACTAGAATTACAAGTGGAGCCTGAAGATAGGCCTAAATTATTGCAATCTCATGTCAAAACTGTATGGATAATGAATTGCTTTTCATGGACAAGCCAAGAAAATGGTTTCTTGAGATGGAGTCTACTTCTAGTGAAGATGCTGTGAACATTGTTGAAATGACAACAAAGAACTTACAATATTACATAGATGTAGTTGATAAAGCAGTGGCAGGGTTTGGAAGAATTCATTCCAATTTTGAAAGAAGTTCCACTGTGGGTAAAATGCTATCAACAGCATTGCATGCTTCAGAGAAAAATATTGCAACAGGAAGAGTCAATTGATGTGCCAAACTTCATCACTGTCTTATTTTAAGAAATTGCCACAGCAACCCCAACTTTCAGCAGCCACCACCCTGATCAGTCAACAGTCATCAACTTTAAAGCAAGACCCTCCACCAGCAAAAGATTATGACTAGCTAAATACTCAGATAATCATTAATATTTTTTGGCAATAAAATATTTTTAATTAACACTCTTTTTTAGACATAATGTTATTTCACACTTAATAGACTACAGCATAGTGTAAACATAACTTTAATATGCACTGGAGAACCAAAAAATTAGTGTGATTCACTTTACTGCAATATTTCCTTTATTGGCATGTCTGGAACCTACAATGTCTTTGAGGTATACCTGCAACATAATTGTAAATTGAGGCACAGAGAATTCAGATTTTGCTGACATTCACTTAGATAGTAGGTGGAAGACTGACTTATTATTTGAAAATAAGTGGTCTGTCTGGTGGGGTATAGTGGTAATATGCTTATAATCTCAGGCTGAGGCAGAAGGATTGCTTTAGCCCAGAAGTTCAAGGAACAGCCTGGGCAACATAGTGAGACCTCATCTCTTAAAAAGATAATTCTGATACTAGGTTGTCTGATCACAGAATGTGCGCTATTAACATCTGTGTTATTCTGATTTCGTGTGTCAGATGCTTTAGATATGAGCGCCAGAATAAAGAATCTTTGTAGGCACAGTTTGAATCATTTTCACTTTTTAATTGTGTTTTTGCCATGCACTCAGACATTGTTCTTCTAAGTCTATGTGTGCCACGGTGATGCATGAATATATGCTTTTCCATTTGGGGGAGATGAAACAATAAAGTCCAGAGATATGGGTCATCTTTAGATAGTTTTCTGAATTATCAGCTCCTATTCGGTTTCTCTAAATAAACAATTAAAAATAAGAAAATAATGACACCATCACCCTAAATCCAAGATCTCTGGACATTTGAAATAGTAAACAAAATCTGAGGTATTTCTGTTATTTTTCTTCAGCCTTCGAAGTCTGCTTATTTATTGATAGTCTAAAACAAGGTAAAGATTCAAGTGCCTTTGGGTGTTAGCACACAAGATATAAAAGCAGCACATTTATTTAGTATTTATTACATGCTTAGTACTCTGAGCACTACTTTGTGTAACTGTATGAAATGATCCTCATAATCACCTTATGAGTAAGGTACTGATATCAAACTCATTTCATAGACGAAAAAGCTGAGTTTTAAAGAGACTTAATTACTTACCCAGAGCCGCATAGAGAGTAAGGCATAAAGTAATGTTTCTCGAAATGTGTTAGAGTACTTGTATCAGAATGATGTGAAGGTGTTTGTTAAAAACACAGGTCTCTGTGTCTCTTAAGCCTTCTGACCAAGTGCCATCAGTCTTTGTGTTTGGACATCTCTGTGTTTTAACAGACTCCTCAGCTGAGGTGTTTGCCAATCATGTTTATAAATTATATTCACAGTAGTTGAAGAAGGGAAGCTGTAGGAAAGAAATGCAATTTTTTTCCTGGGATCCTGTCAAAGGGTGCTTCTCCATGTATTCTATAAATACATCCTGAGTTACTCAGTGAAACCAAACATAGGGCTGTTAGGAAAAGAACTAGATAAAGCACTTTTATTTATTGTCCTCTCTGCTAGCCCTGTTAGGAAGCATTTATTGATTTTACAAACCCCATGAGATTCCTTGAGAACTTAATTTTCTTTCATTTGCACAGAAAATTACTGCTGTTGAGTCTCACTAGAGGTGCACTTGAAAATAGTAATTGTATTTGTGTAGTGTTATACTGAATTAGATATTTCTAATGAACTATCTCATGTAATGAGAAGCAAACATTTCTCTGTTTCCTGTGAGCCAGGAACCGTGCTTGCAGCTGGCCACAGAATAGTAAATAGAGAAGTCATGTATCTGCTTCCATGGAGTCTCTAGCATAGTTAACACGCCACAGTTTTATTTTCAGTTGTAGAAGTGTAAGGTATAAAAGGTGAATGTTATTATCCTATTTTAAATATGAGAAAATGGAAGTTAAAGAGGCTACATGACCGGCTCATGCTGGTACTTCAATTAAGTGACCACATTGTCTAAATTATTCTACTGATTCCAAGTTTAGTATTCTTATTATTATCTTATTCTGTCTTTTAAACTTAGATATTTTACATAGATTTTAAGCTTAGATATTTTGCACAACTTAATTAAGCCCTAACTTTTCTTGCCCTGATTTTAATTTTATTTTTTAATTTTTTTTTATATAAAACTGAACTGTAACTGATTTTAATTTTATATGTGTATATCAGAAGATGCAATGAATCATTCTATGTTTCTATAATTAGGAACAAAAGACAAGAAGAAAGAAAATTAATGGAAAATAGAGTAATTGGAAGCAAAATATGAACTTGCATATTGGTTTCTGGATGTTCAAAGAAGGGACTAGGTAAGTGGTTTTGCTAGTAAAGTTAATATAAAAAATGATTCCAAAGAGAAGAAGGGGTGAAAAAGCAATTTTCTGGCTAGGGACTTCTCCATCTAGATCTTTTATTGTATAGTCAAGCACTTGTCTGTGATGTCACGTCCATTTCTTTGCATTAAAGTAGTTGATCGAGTTTTGCCATGCCAGCCTTCCTCTCACACATTAAATAAAGTTTGTTCTTACAGAAAGTAGGGTATATCTTCCCATTATGAAAATAAGCGCAATTCATATTTTCTTTTCCATCTCCAGAAAGTTCAAACCTGTGAATGGAAAAGGTAGAATAAATTCTTTTGAAAACTAAATAATCAGTAATCAAACTCTATGTATAGTATTTTGTTGCACAAAGTGGAGACTATGGGACAAATAGTAAAAAGAAAAAAATATATTGTCATTGTCTAGGAACTTCCAATATGCTTGGAAGTACAAGGTATGTCATTTTTTGAAAAGCCCAATAGCAGTTTCATATAGCATAAGATTAAGGAGCAAGGGAACACTGGGACAATAGGAGTTCATGGGAAGAAGGGGGATATGGCTATGAAATGATGGGAAAAGGATTTATCTACAAGATCAGACGTTAATTCAATATTGAACAAAGAGCAGGATTTAGATGAACAGAGAGGAGATAGGAGAGCCCTGTAGGGCAAGTAGCTGCACAAGATGGGAATAAACTCAGGGAAAAGTGAGTTGATTAAATAATTTTGAACTGGGAATTTATGTTGTAGGGTGGTAGATCTAAGACAGCACACTGTATTGTAATTGCCTGTTAACTTGTCTATATTCCCTGTTATACTGGTTTCAACGAGAGAACAAGGAATATATACTTATTACTTTATTTGCCAAATATCTGTGGAACACCAACTATGTACCAATGTTGTTCTATGTGCTAAGAATAGATTTGTTTTAAAAAAAAGGTTGGCCAGGCATGGTGGTTCACGCCTATAATCCCAGCACTTTGGGAGACCAAGGTGGGAGGATTGCTTCAGGCCAGGAGTTTGAGACTAGCCTGTGCAGCACAGTGAGATCCTGTTTCTATAGAGACTAAGAACAATTAGCCAGGCGTGGTGGTGCATCTGTAGTCCCAATTATTTGAGAGGCTGGATGGAGCAGGAGGATCGCTTGAGCCCAGGAGTTCGAGAGTTCAATGGGCTATAATTGTGTCACTACACTTGAGCCTGGGTGACAGAGCAAGGCCCTGTCTCTTCTTTTTTTTTTTCTTTTCCTGAAGAAAATCAGCAAGTAAGGGCCCTGTCTCTTTAAAAAAAAAAAAAAGAAAGAAGCAAAGAAAGACAAAGTCCTTTCTGTTGGGGATTTTATGTAACAGTGGGGGTTATTGTGTGAAGCCCACAAATAAAATAAACAGTAACATTTCAGAGAGTGATAAGAGTTATGAAGAAACAAAACAGTGATAGGCTATGGATGAGGGTTGAAGGGAGGCTAGTTTAGTTTGGGTAATTAGAGTTGGCCTCACTTGAAGAAGGGAGGTTTAAACAGAGAATGGAGTCATGAGGTGGAGCCAGCCAGGGAGTGTGAAGGCAGACCATTCTAGGGGAAAGAAACAGTGAGCACCAAAGCCTTAAGACAACACCACAATTTTGATTTGTTGAAAGAAGAGAGAGGACGCCAGTTTTTCTCCTACACTGTGAATGAGGCAGCAAGTGATGGGTGATAAAGCCCAAGGTCTCTGAAGGGGCTTGCTGTGGTTGTAGTATCCTGGGCTCCATCTACGTAGCAAACACTTAGTACAGATTTTTTGAATATCTTAATGAATAATATAGGTAATCATCAGATTGTGTACAAGCTTTGGCTATCAGTTTGAGATTTTGTTGGAGAAAGGTTGCAGTTTTGATATACAAGGTGAACAAAATGTGTTGAGACTCGAGATTGGAAAGCTGTAGTAAACCGTTACTCAACTCTTAACGCGATGGTCCCCTTTGCCTGCATTGTCTGGAGAAGCATGGAGCAGCATGGATGGAGCAGCTTCCTTGCATGGAAGCTGGAATTTTCTTGTGAACTACAATGTACCTAATTCTTGGAGTGGATAGAAGAGCGGGCAAAATGATACTGAAAAGTCAAAATAAAATTCAAGGTAATAACTTTCAACCATGAAATAATGGGGATGAAAATTTTGTTCTAAAACATGTGGAGAGAATCGGAGGAAGTTAAACACATACATACACACACACACACACACGCACACACACCATGTTCCAGTGGTAAAGTTGAATGTAGAAATGGGCAGAAAAAATATTAAGAATTAAAGTGGATTGTGGCTTGGATAAATACAGAAGGATGGGTGGGAGGGGAAAGTAGAATTGTCTTCTTACTGGTGTTCTTTTGCTAGAAGTAAGGTGTGAGTGATTCAGCTGCTGCTTATATAGCACATAGCAGTGTAGAAAGACACCTCCCAACTTTTAAGTAGCTTGTACTCAAGAGAAAAGAGGATCTCAGGAATATAAATTTCTAATAGTGCCTTCTATTCGGAGTGTCCAGTGACTTACATATTTTTGGAGAGAACTGAGCCATCTTCCCACATCCAGGCGCCATGAGAGTTCTGGCGGGATAATCCAATCCAACGAATTAAACTAGTCCTGGCTTTGAGGTATTGCTATTGCAGACATAAATAAACATGATGGTCAGAATGCCTCCACAGTTGTTGTTAATGATATAGAGACAAGGCTTCATGGTAAGACTTTTGGCAGAAAAGAAAGTTGGATCATATATATATATATTAATATTAATGGATTTGATATTTAAAATTGTATGAAGTTGACTTGTTTTAGAATTTAAAAAAAACAGTGAGATGCAGGAAAAATTGTACCCCAAATTGCTGATATTATAATCTTATGTGTTTGTAATATATACTTATGTCTTCAATCAATTGAAGATTAGACTCACAAATAGACTACAAATTGATTTAAATGGGATAAATGGTAAACAATTACACAAGAAAACAAAAAGAAATGTATTGTTAATAAGTTTTATATTCCCTAGAATTAAGCTGTACCTGGTTTGGTGTTATTGCTTAGCTTGCCTATAAAATCTTACATATAGAATTATTAATTTGTTTTAGTTGATTGGGTAAAGAAGAAGTACATGATGTCTTTCTCAAAGAAATTTACAAATAACATACATCTACCTTTCCTGATTTACTTTTTTATACTCAGTAATTATCACTATCTACTGCACTTATTTGTTTTCTTCCTTGCCTGTTGCTCTAACTAGAATATAAGCTCCTAAGTGAAAGGATTTCTTTTTTCTGTTTTATTAACTGCATAGGTCCAGGCCCTGGAATAGTTCCAGCATGTATTTGTCGAATTAATGGATGAATCAGTCAATCAATCAATTTATGAATAATAACATTAAAAGGAGGTCAAATGCTTGTGGTACTCTCAGCCCTGCCAGAATAACAGGTGTGAATGCATTCTTGGCAAATAAAAGTCTCGACTTGAGCTTCTAGACAGACATGTGAGAGTCCGAATGGCATTGCACAGGAGATACTGTGTAAAAGTCACTTTTCACTGCTTGTTTCTTAAAGCTTGAACCACTGCAACCTTTCTGTTAATTCCTTATCTTTTCTTTAAAATATATCCACAGTATATAGTTTGCTATAGGACCTGACAAATAAATTCTACCTGAAATTCAACTATTCTTTATTTCTCAAAAAATTACATTACTTCTTTTAGTTATAACTCTTAAGCCTGGCGTCAGCCTAGGGTAATAAGATTTAGGACATGCTTCTATGTCTCCAGTTAATGTTTTTGTAATGGAGTTGAGGTTTTAGGGAATTCTCCTATCTTTCCTTAGTGGAAAGAGGAGTTTAACTTGTTTGTTTAACTGAATTTTGTCTCTGTAAGTCTGAGCCCACAAAAAGAGAAAGTAGATGGTGCAGCAGGTTAGAATAGCAGGGGATACGAATGGTCATGAACATCACTGAGCTAACTCCTCAAGCCTGACCCACTGTGTACTTTAGCTCTCAGGAAGGTGCAAGGCAATTTTACTGATCAACTATAGCAATTCTGTAGAATATGACTGGATTGAGTATTTGAGTTCTGTAATTCTTACTAAATTTGATAAGGTTGTTACATTAGCAAGAATTGAAAGACATAAGGAAGATGTAAAAATAACCCAAAAGTTCAAATGATACATTAATTTTTTTTTCCCCTATGTCTCCAAAGTATTTGACGTAGGAATCTCCTTACCAGAATGTTCCAGTTGGGAATCTTCAGGAGAGTAGCATTCACGTCAGCGCAGTACTGCTTACTCTCTTCCCACGTCAGGTTGCGCCTGAAGAATCCGTAGCAACTGTCTCCATGATATCTCCAGTTTGTGTCACAGGGGCTGCATTTATGGCCTAAAGGAGAAACCAAGCACAGGAACCCTTTTATTCTAAATCAGGATTACATTTCCCCCACATTCCAATTTCCTGCAGATCTCAAGATTCCCTCGGTTACTACCACATAAATACTTCAGGAGATGGGAAGATGAAGAGGTCACCAAACCATACTTACTGAAAGTGCCCTCTTTTTCCAATTGCTTCAATAGATTTTGGCAGACATGCTTTGCTAATTGTTGTAGAGTTCCTGACAGATTTTCATTCTGAGCTTGTAGGTAATTTTGTTGCGTGACAGCTAGATGCAAAAATTAGATAATAACAATTCGTAATCAGGATTTTAAGGATGATGCGAAGATCCTTCAAGGAAGTCTCATTTCGGCAGAATTACCAATAGAGAGAGTTTACTAGCTCCACATGAGTAAATGAGTGCTGAAAAGGGGTAAGGGAGAAGGGGGATATAAAGAACAAATTCATAAATATGAAAAAGTGATACCGGAGGGTCATCCCCAATAGTAAGTGATATATTTGAAGGAGACAATCACAAGTAACAAAAGCCCAAGGTCAAATCACATGCCCAAAGTAGCTGTTTTGACATTTCCTTGAATATGGATTTCTCAGCAGAGTTCATAAAAGTGAGGGACCTATGCTATTATCTGTTCTTCATGTAATGCCAAAATATTTATTCATTTAAGAATGCATATTAATTTTTTGTTATTCTTAAAGTTCTTGTGATGTTCAGGTAAGTAAAAGATGGTAAATGAAAGATCCTTAAATAGTTTATGAAAAGTAATCAACTACACAGACTACGATGTGGCATGGGACTACGAGACTCACAAGAAAAATAAAACCTAAGATTTCAGTAAACAAAATGGGAAGGAGGAAATTTTAGGTACAGGGAATAAGATGAGCAAAATTTCAGACAAGGTGACATAGGATTTATTTATGAAATTGAGAAAAGTCCACTTTGACTGGTTTTCAGGACATATAACAGAGAGAGAGAAAAAAAAAATGTTTGAAAAGAAAGTTTCCATCCATACTCAGAACGATTTTAAAGGCCAGTTTCAAATTCTTAAAAATAATTTTTTATTCATAAGAAAATTTTAAAAGCAATTTTAATCATAAGGGAAAGGTCAGAGTTCTCCTTTATTGAGACTATCTTGACAACTATGTGTAGAACGATTGGAATAGTGGCAAATAGACAAATAGTGACAATAAAGAGGCTCAGTGGGAGACACCATGATTCATCAGTGGTGCCTTCTTTGATCAAATCTTTGGCACAGAGTCAATACTTACACGTAATCCCCAGAGCCACCATGCCAACGACCATCCCCATGCACAAGACCAGCAGAATCAAAGCCACCACACGCCAGCAGGGGGAGGGAGCAGGCTCAACTGTAGGCATACAATAACCATGTCAAGGAGCAGGCAGTATGGCCTACCTCCGGAGCAGGGTCACCCCTGCCTCTGCCCTCTGGAGATATAAACAGGTAATATAAACAGCTTCATTGGATTGGCAGGTCTCACCTGTGCTCCCTTGGTGACCATCGGCAATAAGCACCACCCACTCCCATGCCACACATCCATCCCCAGCCCCAGTGGACTTTCCCTCTCCAAGCCAAAACAGCCAACTGTTCAGGCCTGGCGTGTCTGTCTTTGTTTTGTTTTGTGCCCACTGCCATAAATAATGGAAAATCACACCATTTGCTGACATTAAAGTTTCCAAACATTCTCTCCCCTTATATCTTTCCTTCTATACCCCAGAGCATTCAACTCTAAGAGCTTTAATGTGATGTTCCCTGCTCATACACTTTATGTTTATATTCTGAATACGTCTGTATGAGGCTTTGTAGACACTACTCAGATGCCATAGAGAAAGCACATCATTCACGAAAAAAATAAAATAAAACTGTATGTGTTATCACTAGTAGGGAAAGAGAATAAAGGATTGACCCATTTCACTAATTAATTTGCAATTGCTAGCGCTGAGCCTTCTTACCTGAGGTGAGAGCTGGCTTTCGAGTTTTAACATTTAAGGTGACGTATCCGTCTTCATCCTGCATGGCTTCCTTTGTACTGCAAGAGAGCTCAGGGTTCAACGACTTTTCAGAATGTCGTGTCCACTCTTGCAGTTTCAGTATGTGCCAGTGTGTGATCTTCCTCGCTCTGGTAGGATAGAACCATGTGAGTTGGGACACATGTTATTTTTGGTTTTTGTTTTCCAGGAAGCCCTTTTATAGCTGCTCAGAGATACATGAACCTTGAACACAAAAACACAAAAATAATAATAACTTGTGGTAAAGGAGTAGATAGGGCATTTGTTTCCTGTTTCCTTATCTTCAACAGTGAATAAAGGGATATTCCCTCGTGTGTATCCTTTTAAAGAACAAAAGTTTATGCTTCATCTTAACCCTAGCAGGGTCTAAATCATATTGTTCAAATGAAGTGATTTTTTAATGAAAATTCAGGTATAAAACACCAGCAGATATACAGTCGATCCCATTGTGAGGGGCAAGGAGCAAGTCTAACAAAACTTGATTTGAGATGCGGCTAAATTAGATGTTGCACGGTCTTGTGTTGGAAGAGACCACTCCTAACTATGACCCAGAATTTATATAAATTCTTGTATCTTTTATAAGTCAAAAAATTTGTGGGTCTCACGTAAGACAGGCCTCGGATTGCTTAGGTTTAGACGTTAAAGGAAGACAATCAAATGAAGTGAAATAATAGAGTTAGTGACTTTATGTATTGCCCTTCAGTAATGCTTGCCCTTTAAAGTGAATTTCCTGAAATGGACATATCTTAATTGAATAAAATCATTTAATTTGAAGCATAGTGGTGCTTAGATGAAGAAGTATTTGAGGAAGAATTGTTTCTATGGCCCTGTCCATCACAATACAATATGTACTCCACCCATTTAACTTTCTGAAATGGGCTTTTCAATTATTATTTTAGCTGACATTAAAAGTTATAAGGACATTGATATGAAGCTACCAGCTGTATTTATTGTAGGAATATTGGTGAGGGGATTGTCTATTTTGTCATTAGAGTGGCTGGTATGTCATTTTATAGCACATATTTTTGTTAAACCTCCATGGCCAGTAAAGCTTCTCTTTTTCTGAGTAACTAGTAGGCATTTATCTTATAAATGATCTTATTTTGATTTTTTTCTTCAGTTAATAAAATGTTAGACTTTTCAATATAGTAATCACGTGGGCTCCCAGGGCAGGTATTTTGTTAACTAACTTGCCCTTTGGCATATCTTACACATACATTTTTCCTTCTTGCTATCTCCTTCATTCTAAATCCTTTGTCAATTCACTCAAAATAATCTTCTATTTAAAAATTTCTTTCCCTATACACCTCAAATTATTCTGAGAATGAGGAGAATAATAAACAAACCAAACATGAAAGACGGTGCCTGATTTTAGAAACCTGAATGTAGTATGATGCAAATGTTTTTTACCAAAAACCAACGCAGAATCAAAAATCTCACTTCTAATAAGTGTCAAATTTAATAAAAGTACTAAAAATAAAAAAATTTTTAAATCCCCAAACCCATTTTTTGTTCCTAATCATCAGCTGGGTAAATTCAGACAGTTATTCCACCATTCATCTACCACTGCTTCTGTTCGGGTAACTTCTGTTTTAGCCAAAGGGGACTCTTCATTCTTCCTTTAATTCTCAGCCTTTGCTGGACGATCAGCTTGGGTCGGGTTAGATTGGGGTTGGACTCTCCCTATCTTCCTTTGCTCACATCTACTCATCATCAAGTCCTGAGGCTTGTTTTCTCACCACAGCCCCTCTCTTTTATGTTCTGTTTGTCACTGACTTACTTTAGTATATTTTTCCTAAAACATACAGAAGTGATGAAACATAATTGAATAAATAATTGTGATTAAGTAACAGAGAGAAAAGAAAATGGATGCAGAGTTTATAGTTCACTGTTTCTATAAAGCTTTACTGTTTTTCTTAGTAACCAAATAGGTACTTGTGAAAATTAAATCAGCTAAATTAAATCAGATATGTAAAGGTGACATCCAAGGACATTTAGAAATTTTAAAAATTATTGTTAACTGTTTCCTTGCTCAATTAACATAAACTTTAAGGAGGTTTTAAACATAACAACTAGTTTGCTTTGTTGAGGTTTCCACCACATTCTCTAGGTCTTGGGGAATTGATTTAATTATAAAAAGTGGCCCATTTATTCATGTAAACCACCAGGAATATGCCATACTGTTATTGATTCTTTAATGCTTGGAACGGTGTATTTAATACCAGGTGAATCTGAAATAGGTGACACAGTTTTAGATGATTTTCTTTTTCTATATCTGCATTTTCCTTGGGTTCCTGGCTCCTTCTCATTATAATTTATTGTTGATTTTTGGACCTTTTATAACTCCTGCAATAGTCTGTGGGTCTTATGTCTACATCTATGACCCACAAAATATATATATTTGCCTTTATTTGTATCCACCAAATGTGACTTTGCAGTGGTAGAAACATGCTATGTGAATACAGAGACTCTCAGGATCAGAGGGGCCCCTGACACCAATGAATCTTAATTGTGCTCTCTCTCTCCACATACCCTATAGATGTAAGCTGAGTTACTCAGCAAAACTGAAGCAGAGAACTGCAGGACAAAAAGAGAGAGAGAGAGATGACAAATGTTTCTTTACTCCTTTCCAAAATCCAGGGACTTTGCTAGATATTGTTTAACCACCCCACAAAGCCCAAAATTATTAACATATTTTATTTCTGCCTGAATATTCCCTGTGAGGGAATGGCGTCCTGGCCAGGGCTGGTTCCCGTCTTGTGCCCTGGGATGCTGGGACAGGCTCTAGACACCCTGGATTGGAATAAGTGGATTGGAGAATGAATGAATGAATGAATGAATGAATACAAATGATTGTAAAAAATCTCCTGAAGTAGGCGATAATTATCCAAATGTATGACAAGAAGCGCTGTGGTCTGAAAGCCCACTCTATTTGTGATTGTTTGTTGCTGAGCTGCGTGGCAGGAGGTACTCCTGACAATTTTCGCATTACAATCATTTTCTTCATTCAACCTACCACCGCTATGACCACCAACACTCACTGATTCACCAAAGGTTGAGTAAATAATTATCTTAAAACTATGTATAGATCACATTTATTTCAGTGTTTAATATTAGAATTGTTTTGAGTCTTTATTTAGAAGTTTGGTGATGTTTTTGTGACCAGAAATATGCCATAGGAATGTAATTCTTGTTTATGTCAATTTGCCCATTGTCAAATTAGTTTTGTCATAGGTTATTTTGCTTAAAGATGTAGTTTTCAAGAACCTATCAACAACATTAAATGAGGACTTACTGTACTACCCAATAAATATTCACTGAATGAATGAATGACTATATGTACCATAAGCATTATCATCCTGATTTGACACGTGGGAAGAGAAGTTTAAGGAATTTAGGGACTTTTTTATGATCATACTTCTTGTGAAAAGTAGTACCATCTACCCAGTTTCCAAATTCCTTTCACTACATTATATCTTTTAAATTTAGATATTATCCAGACCCCATTATCTATGTTTGTAGCTGAAGAATGGGAAAAGGCAATAGGATCACAATGACAAAAAATAGACAGTAAGAATGGAAATTAGTGGTGTTATGGCAACGTGTACAGCTAGTGTTACAGCTCTTGACCGGGGAAAGAACCGAGTGGCACACAAAGAGTCGGAGAACAGTCTTTATTCTTCTAGCAGGCTCAACCAAATTCTCACTTTCTCTCTTCTCCACTTCTGATTTCTGACCCTTCCCCTTCCTTGTTCTCCTCCTGCTTTTATACCCTTGGTAGGACTCAAAAAGCGTCCAATCAGCAACAAGCTTTAACATCCAATCAGCAACAGTGGGATCCAAAAGTACCCAATCAGGATGACGCAGCCAGAGCGGCTGGAGTGCAGGCCCTCACAACAGACTGCACGTGGGCTGGCCCGAGCAGCGTGCCCTCCAACCTGCTCCGGGCAGCGCCGGCCCACGGGATGCAGAGCGTCGGGGAGGTGGCAAGAGGCCACCTCCTGGTGCCTGACATTTTCCGTGTCAGTGGAATACATAATATTGTTGACAACTGATCAATATACAGTGATGGCTAGTGGATGTATAAAAGAGAAAGACAGCAAGAAGATGTTTAATGTGGGTGTTAAAATAATGTCTCTAAATTGGGAAAGAAAGGGACTGAGCATTTTGTAGTTGGTAATAGCTTTTTAAAAGACTCATGCAGACCACCTTTAAGCTAAAGCCTTAGGTGCTTTAATCAGTGATATCCTGTTCCCTTTCTCAGCTCTCTGCGTTATAGTAGTTGGTTCACTGTTGAGACCAGCCTTCCACACACATGTTAATTACGTTTATTTTTAGAAAAGGGTAGGATTTCCTATCACGGAAAAAAGAAAAATTAATATTTTCTCTTTTATTTTTAGAAAGCTTAAACATGCGGACTGAAAATAGAATTAGCTTTGCTAAGTTAATGAACTAAACAATGAATAACTATCAAACAACTATGGCAGAGTTTTGTTACATATATTAGAGAAAGTGAAGGGAGGAATGTGATAGACTGTATCCATACCACTGAGTTAATCAGGCATATGCATATAAAACATATGTAAGTAAAATGTTAAATAATAATCAAATGGAATATGTTAGATTTGAGTTAATATTTGAAGGAAATGTAGAGATTGCATAAGAAGAGAAAGGAGAAGGCAATGTTTAGCAGGCAGAGCAAACATCTGAATAAAGGTCTGGAAGTTTTAATAAGTATGGTGTGATTGAGAAAAGCACATTTGAACTGAGGGTTCATGTCACAATGTATTAAGACATAAGGTGTTGTATTTTCCTATTAAAATCACTATAAAACTTCATGGCAGGGACAATTCATTACTTAATTATTTGAACATGTATTTATTGATCTCTGCAGATGTCCCAAGCATGATTCTGTATTCTGGGGATCAAGTGGTGAATGAAACACACAAGAGTTGTGCTCTTATCAAACTGATAGTAGAGGGTAGTGAACACAGATAGTAAAGAAGCATAGAAAGCAAAAGGCAAGATAATTTCACATCATAATAACTGCTACAAAGGAGGGAAAATGATGTAATAGATCTTGCCTGTACAGGCTTGGGGCAGCCCCTGGTGGTGCTCATTTGGACTGGTTTGTTTAAGCTTCACTGTAAGTACTTGGACAGCTGTACAGCTTTCTTCCATTTTTAAGATAA